CCTCTGCAGCTTCAGTCGTTGCCTCGCATCTTCTCTTCCTCCACAGTCTCTCCTCCTCATTTGCCCTCTCTGTCTGCTGCGCTCTGCTTGGTGTACCCCTTCCGGGGGTGTTTCTGCACATGGTTCTTCACTGCAGGCAGTTAGGGGGTGTGTCAGAATGTTATTGTATACATCACTTTATAACTACCTGCAATGTAGACTTAGTGTAGTTATCTTGCTTGTTAGGTGGTGCACCTTGCTTCACTTCTTTCATATTTGTACCCTTGAACCTATAGTGAAACCATCATTCTCTCACACAACTCTCTCGACAATTTTCCTTACCCTCGAACTTCACCACTAAGTCACTTAACTACCATGGCTCCTAAGCCTACTAAACTTTAGTCTTTCAATATTTTATACATGGAGTTTTGAGCTTGAGCTCCTCCTACAGACAGCGCAGATCTACCATTACTTCGACGGCTCCTATTCTAAACCGGTGGAAAACACCGAAGTCGCCAGGGCTCAATACTACAGTGAGTCCCTCATGGCCTACAGTGTGCTGCTACGCAACATGACGCCTGCGGAACAACTCAACATTCGCTCCTACAAGGAAAGCGACGCTCCAGCCTTGGAAGCCTGGAAGCACTCGTTGAAGTTTACCAGCCGAAGGATTCGGTCACCGCCAGCAGGCTTCTGCAGCAACTCCTGGAGATAAAAATGGGGCACGGGGAGAAAGCGAATCCGTACATTAATCGCTGTCGCAACATCCGTGGCCAGATCACGAAGCATGGGAGTACGATCTCAAAAGAGATCTTTGTCAACATAGTCCTCCAAGGACTCGGGCCAGAGTGGAAGCCCTGCAAAGCGCTACTCCGACAGCGAGGGATCATTTCAGAAGCCGCGCTATGCGCCGCACTCCTGTCCGAACAACAGGACATGGATTCGAGCAGAACAAGCTCCGCGCCGCGCCGAGAGCGCCTCGCCTTCTACGCTGACAACCGTGAAGAGCGACGACAACCAAGGCGCCACTATTGCAAAATATGCAAAGTCTTCGGACATTCAACGGATCGATGCAAGTCCCGATCCAACAATCGCCACCCAAATTCCACTCACCAAAACAATTGGGTCGGCCGACAAGATGCTCGTCATTCTCAGCATCAGACACCTCGTCCTCCTGCTCAACACCAGCATCAACATCAGCAAACTCAGGGACCTCAGTCAGGAGCTCCCAGAAACGTCATCGCGAACATGGCGACGCGCCGTCGCCGCACCGATGAACCTGACGAGGAAGATGAGATTCAAGGAAGATTCTTTGAACCAGAAGAGGGATGGAATAACCCCCTCACTGAAGATCACTATTACCGGTATGATGAAGACGAGCAGGATTGGCACCTGCCGCTCACACTGCGGGAGAGCCCGCCTCACGACAACCAGCACTACGTACCGGTGGGATGGAAGGAGGACGAAGACCCTCACTTTCACAGGCGCTACAAGGCGACTCTTGTGACTCCGCGATTGGCGCTCCTTCTGCGCCGAAACAACACCGACAACTACAACACCTGGTACCTGGACAGCTGCTGCGGACAACACATGGTGGGATCCACGCGCTATGTCTCGAACCTCAGCCGCGCCCCCCCAACCTACGTTACCGTCGCCAACAACGAGCAGCTGCGCGCCAACTCACAAGGCATTGTCGTCCTCCAGGCACGGGACAGCAACACTCACATCTCCTTCAACGACGTGCTCTACGTCCCGAATCTTCGCTTTAACCTGCTTTCGGCTGGACAACTCCGCGACTGTGGCGTCATAATACACACGGATCTTGCCACGCGCGACCTCATTCTCACCTACGCTCCCCCGGACACACCCTCCGAGTCGTTCAAATACCTCGGACGAGCCCGCTCAATCAACGGAATCTACATCTTGGACTTCGACGTCCCTCCCTGTCAGGCGTCTTCGGACGAGCTCGTGGATCTCGTGCCTCTCGAGTTTGCCTTCATGAACAAGGAATCCTGGGAGCACCCGGACGGGCGACCTTGGGTTCGCCGCAGTCCTCATCCCCGCGAGATCAACCTGCACGACCCTGATATCAACGGCCTTTGCACCACCTGCCACACGCCCACCGCGAGCCGCACGGAGCAAGTTGAAAGAGAGCAAGCGGCAATTCAGGAAGCAGAAAGCGCCGAGGCAGAAATCACAGGCATGACTGAAGAAGAACTAGCCGTGTCATCACACCGCATCTTCGGAGAGCCGAGCAAGAAATTTGGACAAGAACAAGAGGAAAGACCGAGGCCTTACTCGGACACCCTGCGGTTCGTCCTTGAAGCCAACGCGCGCACCCTCGATGAGGAAGAACGTCCGCGCCCGTACACCCGCGAGGTCTACCGTCGCGAAATTGATCCAGCTTGGAAAGATCCTGACGCACCAGAGGAGCTGAGCGTCAAGGAAGAACAGGACAAGGCCCGGGCGGAAAAGAAACAAAAGTTGTATGAGGAGCGAGTTGCGGCAGGATGGGACGAAGAGTCTGCACGACGTGGTGCATGGGGAGAAGAAGATTACGAACCAGAAGAAGGCGATGGAGCAACCTGGGGATCCGCCACTGGAGCATGGGGAGCTAGCGCCAGCGGCGCAGTCACAACCGGAGGATGGGGCAACGATGATGGATGGGGAAATGAATACGTGGATGCGCCAATCACAAAGGAAGACGAAGAAGAGATGGAACGTGAAATGCAAGCTGAGCGTGGAGAACCATCCCCTCGCGTCGCCATTCCACTCGGACGTCCTCCGCGCACCCGCTCACCTCCTTCCTCGCCTCCTCGATGGCGCGATCGTTGGTCGGAGATTGAGGAGGGGAACGTACCGCCAACTCCTCTGCGGGATTCGCTTGGTCCAATCTCTCGCCCAGATCCGTTTGCTCGCTTCATCGAAGGTACCACGACCCCGCTCACCATCATCCCTGATCGCGAATTCCTCGCCCTGTATCTCTCAACAGCACCTGCAGAAGGGGAGGCAATGGCAGAAGCAGAAGCAGAGGAGCCGGCCAGCGAAGCAGAACCAGGAGAAGAGGAAGAACCCCCACTCCAGATACCGCAACTCACGACGGAAGAGGCAGCAGAGTACCACACCCGCTACAAGCGCACCTCCGGCATTCGCGCCGAAGACGACCTCTGGCACCAGCGCATGGGCCATCCCTCGCGCCAGACACTCGCCAACTGCCTCCGTGCTAAGGTCTTCCCGCCAGGAGCACTGCTCCGCCCCGACGGAACAGAACTACAGCACACCACCCCTCACCCGATCACCTGCACAGTCTGTCCCACTGCTGCGCTCACCCACAGCGCCTACCCCTCCTTAGAGCCGAGCACCAACCGCTACAAGAAGCTGGAGAAGGTCTACAGCGATTTCATCGTACTCACCCACGACGGCATCAACGGCGAGAAGTATACTCTCACCTTCATCGACGCCTACTCACTCCACGTGTGGATCGCCAACGTAGACGCCCGCTCCAAAGCTCCGGAGGTGTTCCGCATCTTCCTCGCGCACGCACAGCGACTGTCGGGGAGGAAACTGAAGGTCTGGCAGCGTGATGGGGCAAAAGAATTTCGCAGCAACGAGTTGGAGAGCGTCCTCACCGAGAAGGGGATTAAGCATGAGATTTCTCTCCCCTATGCTCATCAGCAGCAAGGCGTCGCCGAGAGGGTCAATCGCACGCTCATGACCAAGGTCCGCGCCCTCATGAATCAGTCCGGCCTGCCCAAGAAGTTTTGGCCCTACGCCATGAACCACGCGGTGCGCCTGCACAACCTCCTCTCCACCACCGCCAACAGAGACAACCTATCCCCTCACATGAAGTGGACCGGCTCAAGGGGAGACCCCTCTATGTTGAGGGTTTGGGGGTGCATGGTGCAATACCTGCCAACCTCGGCTACAATCGGCAAGTTCGTTCATCGCGCGCGCTGGGGTATTCACTTGGGCCTCAGCAATGAGCACAAGGGTTGGCTCATCCTCGACATGGACAACAAGGAGGTTGTCCCTGCACGAGATATCCTCTTCTACGAGCGACTCACACTGAAGCAGTGGATCGAGGACGAGATCCGCAACGAAGCATGCGGCTACGTCAACCACGGTCGCAGCTTCGCGACTCCGGAAGATGAAGTAGCAGCAGCAGCACTGGACCGCGACGACACCGACGAACATCCCACCTCGCCCGCGCGACGACGACGACGATGACAGCGATGATGACCCCGCGCCAGGACCATCACGGCGCCGCACAGAGCCAAGCACCGCGGCACCCGGCTATGAGAGCGGAGACGACGACGTGGTGGAAGTCCTACCCACCACAGACACCACCACAGTGTCCGGCCTACAACTCCTCGGCCTCCACACCACCACCGCCGCCGCTGCCGCTACCTCTGCTACAGCTGCTACAGCAGCGGGTGCAGCGGCTGCTGGTTCTGCTACAGCCGATAGCCTTAGCGCAGGAGGAGCGTTGGGGCCTGTGGCTACAGTGCCGGTGCCACCCAGGCTGGAGTCGGCACTGTTTGAGTTTCGTCCGCTAGTGGACGAGGTGTTGGCGCTGACGGGCGGGGAGGCGTGTGAGAAGGGAGTGGAGATAGCCGCATTAGTGATGGATTCGGTGCCAGCAGCTGTTGTGGGCGACCCTCTCCGACTCCGCCAGGTACGTGCGTGCATGTGTGTTGAGACTCAGACAAGTACGTCTGTTGAAATGCCTGTATCGGGAACTGGGTGGGGAAGATGAGGTGTTGGCGCCGACAGGCAGGGAGGCGTGCGAGAAGGGCGTGGACTCGGTGCCATGCCACCAGCTGTTGTGGGCGACCCACTCCGACTCAGACAGGTGCGTGCGTGTGTGCTAGGGTTCCTTGAGATGCTCATGGGGAAGATCTAGCAGGGGCGTGTGAGAAGGGAGTGGAGATAGCAGCGCTGGTGATGGACTCGGTGCCAGCAGCTGTTGTGGGCGACCCTCTCCGACTCAGACAGGTGTGTATGTGGTGGGTGGGACTCAGACAGGCTAGTGGACGAGGTGTTGGCACTGACGGGCGGGGAGGCGTGTGAGAAGGGCGTGGAGATAGCAGCGCTGGTGATGGACTCGGTGCCAGCAGCTGTTGTGGGGGACCCTCTCAGACTCCGACAGGTACGTGTGTTGAGTTTTCCATATTGAAAAGGCTTTGGGGAAGATCCACTAAGAGTAGGACGGGCGGGGAGGCGTGTGAGAAGGGCGTGGAGATAGCCGCACTGGTCATGGATTATGTGCCAGCAGCTGTTGTGGGGGACCCTCTCCGACTCAGACAGGTGCGTGCAAGTGTGTTTGGATGTCTTGAAAAGCTTACGGGGAAGATCCTACAGGGGCGTGTGAGAAGGGGGTGGAGATAGCAGCGTTGGTGATGGACTCGGCGCCAGCAGCTGTTGTGGGGGACCCTCTCCGACTCCGACAGGTACGTGCGTGCACGTGTGTTGATTGAGACTCAGACAAGTACGTCTGTTGAAATGCCTGTATCGGGAACTGGGTGGGGAAGATGAGGTGTTGGCGCCGACAGGCAGGGAGGCGTGCGAGAAGGGCGTGGACTCGGTGCCATGCCAGCAGCTGTTGTGGGCGACCCACTCCGACTCCTCATTCTGGCTCTCTAATACGCTCTAGCTCACAAGCTTTCCAGGCCCTTTCATTTTTTCATTTCATGGAGTTTGCTTCGTCGTCCTAAGAAACAGTTTAAGTTGATGGACATAAGACCTCCGCAGCCCACCTGTTTAACATTGACAGCAGCTGTTGTGGGCGACCCTCTCCGACTCGGACAGGTGCGTGCGTGTGTGCTAGGGTTCCTTGAGATGCTCATGGAGAAGATCTAGCAGAGGCGTGTGAGAAGGGAGTAGAGATGGCCGCGTTGGTGATGGACTCGGTGCCGGCAGCTGTTGTGGGGGACCCACTCCGACTCAGACAGGTGCGTGCGTGCACGTGTGTTGATTAAGACTCAGACAAGTACATATGTTGAAATGCCTGTATCGGGAGCTGGGTGGGGAAGATGAGGTGTTGGCGCTGACAGGCGGGGAGGCGTGTGAGAAGGGAGTGGAGATAGCAGCGCTGGTCATGGACTCGGTGCCTCCAGCTGTTGTGGGGGACCCTCTCCGACTCAGACAGGTGCGTGCAAGTGTGTGCTTGGGTGTCCCCTCCGTCGTCCGCCCTTGTCACCCCTCTAAACCCCTCCCACCCCCCCGACCTCCCCGCACCCGCCCTCTACCCTCTCCTACACTGCAGGTTCTTCTGAACCTCTTCCCTGTTGCTGTGCGCCTCGCCCGCCGAGGCCACATCTTATCTTCCTCTGCGTGATTACTGCCCCGGCCTCTCCACAATGTGTGACCCCACAACGTGTACCACCTCCCCTCCCTCCCTTTCCTCCCTCTCCATAATCAGATTCTTCTGAACCTCTTCCCTGTTGCTGTGCGCCTCGCCCGCTGAGGCCACATCTTATCTACCTCTGCGTGACTACTGCCCCGGCCTCTCCACAATGTGTGACCCCACAACGTGTACCACCTCCCCTCCCTCCCTTTCCTCCCTCTCCATAATCAGATTCTTCTGAACCTCTTCCCTGTTGCTGTGCGCCTCGCCCGCCGAGGCCACATCTTATCTACCTCTGCGTGACTACTGCCCCGGCCTCTCCACAATGTGTGACCCCACAACGTGTACCACCTCCCCTCCCTCCCTTTCCTCCCTCTCCATAATCAGATTCTTCTGAACCTCTTCCCTGTTGCTGTGCGCCTCGCCCGCTGAGGCCACATCTTATCTACCTCTGCGTGACTACTGCCCCGGCCTCTCCACAATGTGTGACCCCACAACGTGTACCACCTCCCCTCCCCCCCTTTCCTCCCTCTCCATACACAGATTCTTCTGAACCTCTTCCCTGTTGCTGTGCGCCTCGCCCGCTGAGGCCACATCTTATCTACCTCTGCGTGACTACTGCCCCGGCCTCTCCACAATGTGTGACCCCACAACGTGTACCACCTCCCCTCCCCCCCTTTCCTCCCTCTCCATACACAGATTCTTCTGAACCTCTTCCCTGTTGCTGTGCGCCTCGCCCGCTGAGGCCACATCTTATCTACCTCTGCGTGACTACTGCCCCGGCCTCTCCACAATGTGTGACCCCACAACGTGTACCACCTCCCCTCCCCCCCTTTCCTCCCTCTCCATACACAGATTCTTCTGAACCTCTTCACTGTTGCTGTGCGCCTCACCAATCGGGACCACATCTTCCTCTGCGTGCTCATTGCCCCTCTCAAACCCCACAACCTTGTACTCACAAACTTCCTGTGAACCCGCCTTCTCCGCCTCCCTCTCCTCTCCTTGTCACGCAGATTCTTCTGAACCTCTTCACTGTTGCGGTGCGCCTCACCGATCGAGGCCACATCTTCCTCTGCGTGCGCGTCGCCTTCGACCCTCCCCACAAACCACCGGCACCAGCAGCAGGGGCAGGAGCAGCAGCAGCAGCAGCAGCAGCAGGAGGAGCAGCAGGAGCAGCAGGCGAAAAGGGCAAAGGCAGAGACCCGCAGCAGCAGGGGGAGGGGCAGGGGGAGGGGGAGGGAGGGGAGGAGGAGAAGGAGAGGGCAGCACGGGGGAAAGCGTCTCTAATGAAGGGCGAGCACCTGACTCTGAGCGGGTTACCAGCAGTGGACGGCAGTAACAGCTGGCCTGCTGTCTGTGAGATGCTGAAGCAGCAGGAGAACCGACTCAGAAAGTCACCCTCTGGTGGCGCTGCTGCTGGTACTGCTGGGACTGCTCCTGCTCCTGCGTCTGTAGCTGCTTCTGGCAGTGGCAGTGGCGGTGGTGGTTCTTCTGCTGCTACTGCCATGGGTACATCTGGAGCGGGGGCAAGGGCAGGGGCGGACAGGAGGAGGAGGGGAATCAGGCTGCTGTTCAGTCTGGAGGACACGGGGGCGGGGCTACCGGGGGAGGTGCTGGCAGCGAGGGAGCGGCCGTTCGAGGCGGTTCACATGAAGCTGCAGCAGAAGTATGCCGGCGTGCCGCTGCTGCTGTGCTTTGCGGAGAGGTGAGCGGTGTATGTGCTGGGTGCGTATACGGGCAGCACATTCCAAGGCAGGTAGGCAGGCAAGCAGGCAGGCAGTCAGGCAGGCAGCGAGGGAGCGGCCGTTCGAGGCGGTTCACATGAAGCTGCAGCAGAAGTATGCCGGCGTGCCGCTGCTGCTGTGCTTTGCGGAGAGGTGAGCGGTGTATGTGCTGGGTGCGTATACGGGCAGCACATTCCAAGGCAGGTAGGCAGGCAAGCAGGCAGGCAGTCAGGCAGGCAGCGAGGGAGCGGCCGTTCGAGGCGGTTCACATGAAGCTGCAGCAGAAGTATGCCGGCGTGCCGCTGCTGCTTTGCTTTGCTGAGAGGTGGGTAACGCATTACTCTGCCTGTCTGTTGGCATGTATGTGCGTATGTGTGTATGTACGCTGCTGTGTGTGTTGTTGCGGCCGTTCGAGGCGGTGCACATGAAGCTGCAACAGAAGTATGCTGGCGTGCCGCTGCTGCTGTGCTATGCAGAGAGGTGAGCGGTGTATGTGCTGGGTGCGTATACGGGCAGCACATTCCCAGGCAGGTAGGCAAGCAGGCAGGCAGGCAGGCAGTCAGGCAGGCAGCGAGGGAGCGGCCGTTCGAGGCGGTTCACATGAAGCTGCAGCAGAAGTATGCGGGCGTGCCGCTGCTGCTCTGCTTCGCTGAGAGGTGGGTGCCGCAATACTCTGCCTGTCTGTTGGCATGTATGTGCGTATGTGTGTATGTATGCTGCTGTGTGTGTTGCCGCGGCCGTTCGAGGCGGTCCACATGAAGTATGCCGGCGTGCCGCTGCTGCTCTGCTTCGCTTAGAGGTGAGCGACGGGGGGTGATTGAGAGGTGAACCGTGCATGGGATGGGCCGGCCGTGGTGGTCTAGGGTGTCTGTGTGAAATTCTGGTTCTGGAGGCACGGGTATAAGGGCAGCACCTTGCCAGGCAGCAGCAGCAGCAGCAGAAGCAGGCGGACACGCTGTTGCTGCTCTGCTTTGCTGAGAGGTGAGCGGGGGGGGGTGACTGAGAGGTGAACCGTGCACGGGATGGGCCGGCCGTGGTGGTCTAGGGTGTCTGTGTGAAATTCTGGAGGCACGGGTATAAGGGCAGCACCTTGCAAGGCAGGCAGCAGCAGCAGCACCGTGCATGGGATGGGCCGACCGTGGTGGTCTAGGGTGTCTGTGTGAAATTCTGGAGGCATGGGTATAAGGGCAGGCCAGCACCTTGCCAGGCAGGCAGCAGCAGCAGCAGCAGCAGCAGCAGGCGGACGTGCTGTTGCTGCTCTGCTTTGCTGAGAGGTGAGCGGTGGGGGGTGATTGAGAGGTGAACCGTGCATGGGATGGGCCGGCCGTGGTCTAGGGTGTCTCTGTGAAATTCTGGAGGCGCGGGTTACGGGTATAAGGGCAGGGCAGCACCTTGCCAGGCAGGCAGGCAGCAGCAGAAGCACCGTGCATGGGATGGGCCGGCCGTGGTGGTCTAGGGTGTCTGTGTGTAATTCTGGAGGCACGCGTATAAGGGCAGGGCAGCACCTTGCCAGGCAGGCAGCAGCAGCAGCAGCAGCAGAAGCAGGCGGACGTGCTGTTGCTGCTCTGCTTTGCTGAGATGAGAACCCACCTCAAAAGTCACCTCGTTACAATGGCACACGACACCAGGCGGACGGGCTGTTGCTGCTCTGCTTTGCTGAGATGAGAACCCACCTTCCCTCTTTTGAGGCGCCTCAGAAGTCACCTTTCCTCTCCCCCTTCCCGTCCCTTTCCCTTCCCCGCCCCCCACTCCCCCTCCCCATCCCGCTCACCCTCCCCCTCCCCTCTCCCTTTTTCTACCCACACCCCCTCAGGCTCGTCAAGTCCATGTCAGGACAAATGTCGCTATCCACGCGCGTCAACACCGGCACCACCGTCACCTTTGACGTGCTGCTGGACCAGCCTCCCCCAGGTGCCACCTCCTCCAGCACCAGCGCCAGCAGCGGAAGCTCAGTTGGGGGGGTTGGAGCCGCAGCAGGAGGAGGAGGAGGAGCAGCAGCAGCGGCGGCAGCAGCAGGGGTGGTGCCGCGGGTGTTTCACATAGGGTACGGGGCGATAGGGGACGATCAGCACGCGGAGTGTGCGGGGCTGAGGGCGAAGCTGCGGGGCATGCGGTGTCTGGTGGTGGATGGGCGGCCGGTGAGGCAGCAGGTGACTGCCACGTACCTGGCCCGCATGGGCCTTCGCGTTGACCTCTCTGATAGCGTCCCTGCTGCTGCCCTGGCCCTGCGGCACTCCCGGCACCTCCCAGGTAGGTGGCTGACTGGTAGTGGTTGAAAGGGTACGGGGCAATAGGGGGCGAGAAGCTGAGAGGCATGCGGTGTCTGGTGGTGGATGGGCGGCCAGTGAGGCAGCAGGTGACTGCCACGTACCTGGCCCGCATGGGCCTCCGAGTTGATCTTTCCGACAGCGTCCCTGCTGCTGCCCTGGCACTCAGGCACTCAAGGCACCTCCCAGGTGGGTGATGCATCGACATAGGATGCAGGGCAGGGCAATAGGGTACGCCCAGCATTGGTTTGGACCGGCCAGTGAGGCAGCAGGTGACTGCCACGTACCTGGCCCGCATGGGCCTCCGGGTTGACCTCTCCGACAGCGTCCCTGCTGCTGCTCTGGCACTCAGGCACTCCCGGCACCTCCCAGGTGGGTGATTGGTGTACATAAGGTACAGCGCGACTGCCACGTACCTGGCCCGCATGGACCTTCGAGGCGACCTCTCAGATAGCGTCCCTGCTGCTGCCTTGGTCCTGCGGCACTCCCGACACCTCCCAGGTGGGTGACTGGCAGTGTGTGCATGCATTCTCAGAACAATACATGCATGCATGGACTGCCAGGTCTGGATCGCCTTTTTAGGATTCTCAAAACTACTTGAAATATAACCACATGCATTGACTGGCGGGACCTTTCATGTGGCTATATTCCAAGGTCCACTCCACTGGATCCGCACCACACCAGCACCAATGTCCCTATCAGCCACTATCCCCTTCAATCAACACACATGCAGGCCAGGGCCTGGTGAACTGCAAGAGCTGGTGGGGCTTTTGAGTCGACTCAAACGGAAGAGCCGGTGGAGCATGGTGGTGGTGGGCGCAGGTGCGGACGGGCCAAGCCAAGAGGATGACACTTACTCACCCTTCCTTATCCCTGCATTCGCCCCTCCACACACACACACACACACACACTCCCTCGCCCCCACACACTCACTCGCCTCCACGCACATTCACTCGCCCGCGCAGGCCAGGGCCTGGTGAACCGCAAGAGCCGGTGGGACATGGTGGTGGGGGTCGCGGATGCGGACCGGCCAAGTGGAAGGCACTCGCTCACTACCCTTTTCCTCCCCCCTTCATTACACACACAGGCCAGGGTTTAGTAAACAGGAAGAGCCGGTGGGACATGGTTGTGGTGGACGCAGATGCGGACGGGGCGAGAGTCAAAGACATCCCTCCATTCCCCCACCACACACACTTGGCCTCACAAACTCACTCGCCCCCTCGCCCCCTCACACACACAGGTCAGGGCCTGGTGAACCGCAAGAGCCGGTGGGACATGGTGGTGGTGGATGCAGATGCGGACGGGCTGAGTGGAAGGCACTCGCTCACTACCCTTTTCCTCCCCCCTTCATTACACACACAGGCCAGGGTTTAGTAAACAGGAAGAGCCGGCGGGACATGGTTGTGGTGGACGCAGATGCGGACGGGGCGAGAGTCAAAGACATCCCTCCATTCCCCCACCACACACACTTGGCCTCACAAACTCACTCGCCCCCTCGCCCCCTCACACACACAGGTCAGGGCCTGGTGAACCGCAAGAGCCGGTGGGACATGGTGGTGGTGGATGCAGATGCGGACGGGCTGAGTGGAAGGCACTCGCTCACTACCCTTTTCCTGCCCCCTTCATTACACACACAGGCCAGGGCTTAGTAAACAGGAAGAGCCGATGGGACATGGTGGTGGTGGATGCAGATGCGGACGGGCCGAGCACGGGGATAGAGCTGGGGCGCATGGTGCAGCAGCTCAAGGAGCTGAGAGAGGCGTGGGAGGCCACCCCGATCGTGCCTAAACTGCTGCTGCTCACTCAGGTGAGAAGAGAGGAGTTTCCATACCGCCCGGGCACGGGGATAGAGCAGCTTAGGCGCATGGTGCAACACCTGAAGGAACTAAGGGAGGCCTGAGGCCACTCCTATTGTGCCCAAGCTGCTGCTGCTCACTCAGGTGAGAAGAGGGGTGGAAAGGGGGAGGGGAAAGGGTGGGGTGCGAGGGGGAGAGGGGAGTTCAAGCGCGTACTTCCAAGAAATCTGAGCCAAAGACGGGCCGGGCACGGGGATAGAGCTGGGGCGCAACTGAAGGAGCTGAGAGTGTGCCACCCCCATTGTGCCCAAGCTGCTGCTGCTCACCCAGGTAAGGGAGAGGGAGGTGCGTGCGGGTGAGGGGAAGGGGGAAAGTGCGAGGGGGAGGGAGGGAGTGTGCCACCCCCATCTTGCCGAAACTGCTGCTGCTCACGCAGGTGCTCCATCTATTTTAGCGATGCATCCATGATCCATACATACATGGTTACCTATCAGTGACGGACAGGTGGGCTGACACGCAGGTGCTCCATTTTAGCGATGCATCCATGATCCATGCATGGTTACCGATTCCTCGCTGTACCTGTGAACTCAATAATTGACCCTCATACCCAGTGACTCATTCATCCTCGTACCCTTTTGCCTATCCTCCTCCTCTCCTCTTTCCCATCCTCCACACCACTCTGCACCGCACTGAACCAGACCACAAACGACGATCTGGAGGCAGAGGCAGCGAGGCACGGCTTCTCATGCATCATGCTCAAGCCACTCAGGGCTGCCACCATGGCCACGGCTCTCCTGCAGGTATGTCTGGTGCAGGGATGTCTGGTGCGGGTATATCTGGTGCACTGTAGTTGGTGGGGGCTGGGCACTGGGCAGCGAGGCTTGGCTTCTCATGCGTCATGCTCAAACCCCTCAGAGCCGCCACCATGGCCACGGCCCTCCTGCAGGTATATCTGGTGCACTTTAGTTGGTGCAGGGGGTCTGGGCAGCGAGGCTTGGCTTCTCATGCATCATGCTCAAACCCCTCAGAGCCGCCACCATGGCCACGGCTCTCCTGCAGATATGTTGAGATGGAACGTGGCATGCGGCTTATGGGACATGGCATGCGGCTTATGGGACATGGCCTGCGGCTTATGGGACATGGCATGCGGCTTATGGGACATGGCATGCGGCTTATGGGACATGGCATGCGGCTTATGGGACATGGCACGCGGCTTATGGGACATGGCACGCGGCTTATGGGACATGGCACGCGGCTTATGGGACATGGCACGCGGCTTATGGGACATGGCATGCGGCTTATGGGACATGGCATGCGGCTTATGGGACATGGCATGCGGCTTATGGGACATGGCATGCGGCTTATGGGACATGGCATGCGGCTTATGGGACATGGCACGCGGCTTATGGGACATGGCACGCGGCTTATGGGACATGGCATGCGGCTTATGGGACATGGCATGCGGCTTATGGGACATGGCATGCGGCTTATGGGACATGGCATGCGGCTTATGGGACATGGCATGCGGCTTATGGGACATGGCACGCGGCTTATGGGACATGGCACGCGGCTTATGGGACATGGCACGCGGCTTATGGGACATGGCACGCGGCTTACGGGACATGGCACGCGGCTTATGGGACATGGCACGCGGCTTATGGGACATGGCACGCGGCTTATGGGACATGGCACGCGGCTTATGGGACATGGCACGCGGCTTATGGGACATGGCACGCGGCTTATGGGACATGGCACGCGGCTTATGGGACATGGCACGCGGCTTATGGGACATGGCACGCGGCTTATGGGACATGGCACGCGGCTTATGGGACATGGCACGCGGCTTATGGGACATGGCATGCGGCTTATGGGACATGGCACGCGGCTTATGGGACATGGCACGCGGCTTATGGGACATGGCACGCGGCTTATGGGACATGGCACGCGGCTTATGGGACATGGCACGCGGCTTATGGGACATGGCACGCGGCTTATGGGACATGGCACGCGGCTTATGGGACATGGCACGCGGCTTATGGGACATGGCACGCGGCTTATGGGACATGGCACGCGGCTTATGGGACATGGCACGCGGCTTATGGGACATGGCACGCGGCTTATGGGACATGGCACGCGGCTTATGGGACATGGCACGCGGCTTATGGGACATGGCACGCGGCTTATGGGACATGGCACGCGGCTTATGGGACATGGCACGCGGCTTATGGGACATGGCACGCGGCTTATGGGACATGGCACGCGGCTTATGGGACATGGCACGCGGCTTATGGGACATGGCACGCGGCTTATGGGACATGGCACGCGGCTTATGGGACATGGCACGCGGCTTATGGGACATGGCACGCGGCTTATGGGACATGGCACGCGGCTTATGGGACATGGCACGCGGCTTATGGGACATGGCACGCGGCTTATGGGACATGGCACGCGGCTTATGGGACATGGCACGCGGCTTATGGGACACGGCACGCGGCTTATGGGACATGGCACGCGGCTTATGGGACATGGCACGCGGCTTATGGGACATGGCACGCGGCTTATGGGACATGGCACGCGGCTTATGGGACATGGCACGCGGCTTATGGGACATGGCACGCGGCTTATGGGACATGGCACGCGGCTTATGGGACATGGCACGCGGCTTATGGGACATGGCACGCGGCTTATGGGACATGGCACGCGGCTTATGGGACATGGCACGCGGCTTATGGGACATGGCACGCGGCTTATGGGACATGGCACGCGGCTTATGGGACATGGCACGCGGCTTATGGGACATGGCACGCGGCTTATGGGACATGGCACGCGGCTTATGGGACATGGCACGCGGCTTATGGGACATGGCACGCGGCTTATGGGACATGGCACGCGGCTTATGGGACATGGCACGCGGCTTATGGGACATGGCACGCGGCTTATGGGACATGGCACGCGGCTTATGGGACATGGCACGCGGCTTATGGGACATGGCACGCGGCTTATGGGACATGGCACGCGGCTTATGGGACATGGCACGCGGCTTATGGGACATGGCACGCGGCTTATGGGACATGGCACGCGGCTTATGGGACATGGCACGCGGCTTATGGGACATGGCACGCGGCTTATGGGACATGGCACGCGGCTTATGGGACATGGCACGCGGCTTATGGGACATGGCACGCGGCTTATGGGACATGGCACGCGGCTTATGGGACATGGCACGCGGCTTATGGGACATGGCACGCGGCTTATGGGACATGGCACGCGGCTTATGGGACATGGCACGCGGCTTATGGGACATGGCACGCGGCTTATGGGACATGGCACGCGGCTTATGGGACATGGCACGCGGCTTATGGGACATGGCACGCGGCTTATGGACATGGCACGCGGCTTATGGGACATGGCACGCGGCTTATGGGACATGGCACGCGGCTTATGGGACATGGCACGCGGCTTATGGGACATGGCACGCGGCTTATGGGACATGGCACGCGGCTTATGGGACATGGCACGCGGCTTATGGGACATGGCACGCGGCTTATGGGACATGGCACGCGGCTTATGGGACATGGCACGCGGCTTATGGGACATGGCACGCGGCTTATGGGACATGGCACGCGGCTTATGGGACATGGCACGCGGCTTATGGGACATGGCACGCGGCTTATGGGACATGGCACGCGGCTTATGGGACATGGCACGCGGCTTATGGGACATGGCACGCGGCTTATGGGACATGGCACGCGGCTTATGGGACATGGCACGCGGCTTATGGGACATGGCACGCGGCTTATGGGACATGGCACGCGGCTTATGGGACATGGCACGCGGCTTATGGGACATGGCACGCGGCTTATGGGACATGGCACCGCGGCTTATGGGACATGGCACGCGGCTTATGGGACATGGCACGCGGCTTATGGGACATGGCACGCGGCTCTTATGGGACATGGCACGCGGCTTATAACGGGACACGCGGCTTATGGACATGGCACGCGGCTTATGGGACATGGCACGCGGCTTATGGGACATGGCACGCGGCTTATGGGACATGGCACGCGGCTTATGGGACATTGCACGCGGCTTATGGGACATGGCACGCGGCTTATGGGACATGGCACGCGGCTTATGGGACATGGCACGCGGCTTATGGGACATGGCACGCGGCTTATGGGACATGGCACGCGGCTTATGGGACATGGCACGCGGCTTATGGACATGGCACGCGGCTTATGGGACATGGCACGCGGCTTATGGGACATGGCACGGGCTTATTGGACATGGCGCGGCTTATGGGACATGGCACGCGGCTTATGGGACATGGCACGCGGCTATGGGACATGGATGGCACGCGGCTTATGGGACATGGCACGCGGCTTATGGGACATGGCACGCGGCTTATGGGACATGGCACGCGGCTTATGGGACATGGCACGCGGCTTATGGGACATGGCACGCGGCTTATGGGACATGGCACGCGGCTTATGGGACATGGCACGCGGCTTATGGGACATGGCACGCGGCTTATGGGACATGGCACGCGGCTTATGGGACATGGCACGCGGCTTATGGGACATGGCACGCGGCTTATGGGACATGGCACGCGGCTTATGGGACATGGCACGCGGCTTATGGGACATGGCACGCGGCTTATGGGACATGGCACGCGGCTTATGGGACATGGCACGCGGCTTATGGGACATGGCACGCGGCTTATGGGACATGGCACGCGGCTTATGGGACATGGCACGCGGCTTATGGGACATGGCACGCGGCTTATGGGACATGGCACGCGGCTTATGGGACATGGCACGCGGCTTATGGGACATGGCACGCGGCTTATGGGACATGGCACGCGGCTTATGGGACATGGCACGCGGCTTATGGGACATGGCACGCGGCTTATGGGACATGGCACGCGGCTTATGGGACATGGCACGCGGCTTATGGGACATGGCACGCGGCTTATGGGACATGGCACGCGGCTTATGGGACATGGCACGCGGCTTATGGACATGGCACGCGGCTTATGGGACATGGCACGCGGCTTATGGGACATGGCACGCGGCTTATGGGACATGGCACGCGGCTTATGGGA